TCCTTCCATGCTTCAGCACCTCCTGCAATGCCCGGGGTACTGATGGATATGAATGGCAACATTTATTACTCTGCTGCGCAATACCCGGGTCAGCCGCCTCGTGGCGCCTAAGCCAAGCTTGGTGAATGGCGGCACCGAACTGTTGACGACGCTCAACCGTGGCATCACGGTTGGTTGCTGGGGTAGGGGACCAGTGGTAGTTCCGGATGGCATCCCGGTCCCACCAACGGTTTCTTGCACGCGAAGGTGGTTCACGCCAGCTGCGATAAACCTTCCTGCATTGCTCCTCGCCTAGAATCATGCTGTGAAGAACCACAGCGCAGCCGACACCTGCGCAGATGCGCCACAAACGGGCCTCGTGCCTGCTGGCGAAGATGCGCCACCGGTTTTTAAATAGTCCCATGCTTTTCTCCACTGGCATCCTAGTTGCGGACTGGACATAGTTGAAACTCTGCTCCCATCCACTTAGTAGCCTTTGTTTGCTTGCATATAGAGGAACCAAGCAGAAATCTTTCAAAGGATAGGCTGCATCTCCTAGTAACTAATACGGTGCAATGTCCCCGTTCAACAACCTTTTGTATAAGGCGCTTCCAGTGAACACGCGACTGTCGTGCGTTGAACCAGGGTGCCCCACCACATAGTCCCATATCCGGCAGTAGGCATCCACGGTAATTTGAAATTGAACGGAATACATTTGCTTCCGGCAATAATACTCCATGCGGTAATCATCAATGCCCCGAACCTGAATGTGTGTGCCGTCCATGGCTCCAATCACGTTCGGGACACCCCTCACGGCTCGGAATCCCTGCTCCATGGAGACCATTTCTTCACGACTAGGGAACTTGACCCAGGTTTGTTTAAACTTTCGAGGAAAATTAAGGAGGAAACAGTCGACGATCATGTGGCACGTAGACGTTGGCACACCAAAGTAGTGGCCCAAGTCGAGGTACGACATCCCTGTCGCAAGGTACTTGATAGGGATTAGTATGCATAGCGGCAGGGGTACGTTCCGTGAGCACACTATGCGGCGGAAAGCAACCTCCATTTCAGCGACGAGGTAATCCAGAATGTTTCTGTTAATTCTAAAGAGCTCCACGAACTCTTCCTCACTCATACGCTCTATGCGTATCATCCACTCGGCTCTTCGAGCCTTCCGATATCCCTTATTTTGCCGAATCCATTCTGCTCTGAGGGCTGCCTTGTGTTTTTCTTTGGCACTCTTGATCAATGCCGACAGCATACAATCTGTCTCGTCGTCATCAGCCTGCAACCAAATCATTGTTGCCGCCACGGCGGTGGCTACCTGCTGTAATAAGGTGCTCATAGTACTGCGACTAGTTGAATGTTGCTATGGGGAATGCAGAGTAGTGCATGCATAGGTGGTATATTTATAGGATCCCTAGGCTTGCTTGCATGCAAGGTGGACGGCTTGAGTGGTTTGAAGATTCCCGTAACTTCCTCGGGGATGCACGTTGCTATATTTCCCAGGGGGGCAAAATGGCTCGCGCAAAACACAACACACGATCAACGTCTTGTTTTTGGGTTGCGAAGCAACCCTTTACGATCGATTTTGACAAATTTTCTTTTCATGTTTTTTTTACATGAAAATAAAATTCGTAAGCTACAGTACCACCCTTCCCATTGTGCATTTCTTTGTAGTAGTTTTTTTCTTACATGCTATACTGTTTACTTTATATCTTTTACTGTTTGATGTTGTAGTGATAACTTCACGTATTGAATGTTACGAATATTAGTAATGAAATACACACCACGCATGCTTAAATGAATGTAATGCAACAAGATATATAGATGCATAATACTGATACATGGATGAAAATGCTTTGGCATGAAACGAAATGCTGAAATGCAACATATGATATATCATACAAATGCGTGATAGTTAACGACCCAAAAACTAGGCTACCGCATCCCCTGCCTAGCATGGGGGGGAAGTCGACAGCAAAGTCTTTGAATAATCAACTAGCACATGAAAAAATACAATCTGTTAACCCTAAAAAGAGGGTTCACACTATCAAATCCAGTTCGAAGTGGCAAACACACGAGTCACTGAGTGCGCCAGTGAACCAATGAGAAATGATAGTAATGAACCCCCTTTTTAAAATTGACAGACATGCATTGATATTGCAATGATAGATGAGATGAATGCACTAACACAAACACATTCACACAATCAGAGGCACGAAAACCGACAAACCCAGCCAAAAACACGCGATAATAAATAAAATGCAAATCAACATTAAAAGGGCAATATGGTAAATCATATAAGTGACCAATAAACATTTTCTGGATTGAAATCGCCTTCCTGGCCAGCAAGGCTCCTGAGGAATGGGTTTAAGAAGTGGAAAGGAGGAACGGAAAGAACCAGTCGGTACAAAAAAAAAACAGAAAAGGGTATGAGGTGTGATGAAAAGACGAGAAACAACGAAGAAACAAATGAAACAATGAATGATGTGAGTGTTGAAGAGTTAGAGCTAACAAATAGCAAGGAGAATAATGTACCGAGGCATAAAAAGAAAGAAATGAACGGGAACGAGACACTAAACGGAAGAAACGAATACGGAGAGCGTTTACAACGGAGAGCGAGAGCGAGAGCGAGAGAAAGAGGACGAGAGAGATAGAGGACGAGTGAGAGAGGACGACGAAAGAGGACGAACGAGAGAGAGAAAGGACGTGAGAGAGAGAGAATGGGAGAGAGAGAACGAACGAGAGAGAGACTGAGAGAGAGAGAGAGAACGAGAGTGAGAGAACGAACGAGAGAGAGAGAGAACGAGAGATCGAGAGAGAAAGAACGAGAGAGAGAAAGAGAGAGAGAACGAACGAGAGATAGAGAGAGTGTGTTAAACTAAGGTTTTGAAAAAAAACATGTGTTAAAACAAGATCTAAGCCGACCTAGATTAGATCTAAGTCGTCCTAGTTTAGAATCAAGTTGACCTAACAAACATACGTATCGAACGATTTTAAGTTGCAAGTTAGGAGCTTACCTAGCGGAAGTCCCGTAGCCACAGTTTCGACATATACCTATAGAGCATAGGGGACAAAAACAGAAGGAGAAAAGAAAAGAAAAGAAAACAAACAAAGAAAATGATAAAAAGAAGAGAAGAAGATAAGCTATACAACGGATGTGACTTCCATAGGTAAACAACGAGCTCACCTAACTACGAGTGAATGACGCATGTGCGTTAGGAAAACTGACGTAGTGGCGCCTTTGTTATTAACAAAAAGAAAAGCAACGTACAAAGAGCTTGCACGTTGCAACGTGCAGGATCGAAACAAATAACGACCTGGGGCTCGTCTATATGATTGCATGCGCTAGAAAAGCAGCTATTTGCTAAATCGAAAGGCTGAAACAGATGATAGCGACTAAGACTAATTAATCTACTCTACTTAAGTCTAGAAATAATGCTCACCTAGGTAGTAGTAGCTGAGTAAAGTGGTTGAGGAGGTCGCTGGAGCAGGCAGGGATAAGTTGGAACTGCAAGGCACCAACGCAGAAAGGAGAAACGAAATCCAAAGCTGTTGTGTCTCATGTCAAAAACAAACTTGCTGTGATCAATTGTTCACTTCTTTCGAACGTCTGGTTTGTCGTAGTGGATTGGCTTTCACGTTCGAAACCAGAGGTCGGGTGATCAAATCTTGGTGGCGTATGATATGCGCTGGCTGGGATTTTCGTTCCCGAGTTTACATGAGGATATAAAGGTACTCATCTAAAATGTAGTTTTGAGAACAAATGTACTTGTGTTGTGGGTTTGGAGTTTTAGAGTGTTTTTTTCCACTTCCTTATTACAATCAAAATGCATAAAGCTCAGCAGCTTTCTATATTTCATCCACAATTAATCAACTGGAAACAATCTTCCAAGACAGGGAGATTATTATTATGCGCTATACATCCATTAAAAAAGCTTCGCAACCCTAGGCCGACTTTGTCGCCTCTTGTTTTTTTGTTGGGAAAGAGGTCCTGCCAACATCCATCACGTAAACCACATGATGACTGACGGATTCGAGTGATTGACTGTTTTGACTGATGCTGGACGTCAAACCGTCAGATCGTGCGGAGCCTTCGCACGTTGGGGGACTAAACCCAAGTGCGACGTCCGGATTCACCCCCCCGCCACCTCATCATAAACCCCAGTGCTTTCGCACGTGCCGAGTGCACTTTTCGCTGTCCTCACTTCGAACTTCGGACAGCCCAGGAAGGCTATCTTATGTGAAGAGGAGTGTCGATAAGTAGTCTGAAGGTGCTAGAAGAGGAGATGCAGAAGAAGCTGATGTGGAAGAGCTCCGATTGCTTCGTGAGTTGAAATGTGCCACGTAACTCAACCCATCACTGTAATGCAGCATATTGAGCGATGCGATAGAAAGCACAAAATCAAACAGAAAACCGCAGTTATAGATATTGCCAACAGGTCGAGTGAAGAAGTGTACAACTTTCTGGAATTGCCGTACGTGGCTGCCTCGGCAAGCTAAGTGAAGCGAGGTTTCGATTGGTGCTGATTCATCCTCAGAAGCTGTGGAGTACCCTCGGGGTAACCCAGCGAACTGACCAGCCTCCTGATTGGTCGATTGTTCACTTACGAAGGTGCGCGACGAGCTCCCTTCGAGATGCTGACGTGTAATTTCTCAGGGGTATCCTCGGGTACACTTGCTGGGAAGTTGTGGGTACCCCGCGAGGGTGACCCTGGGGTCTCCCGCGATTTCAAAGTGATTTCTGCGTGTGGAATTTTGGGATGGACCCTCGCGCGCCTGCCGTCCCACCCTCCCGCCGCCCCAGCGTGCGGCAGCGGCTGGCGCTCTTCCTGCTGCTCGAGACCAGGGTGAGGCGTTTGCGGGGAAGAGGTGCGCTGATGGGGGGTGGGAAGGTGCGCTGCCGGTGGGTGGGTTGCGCTGTTGGGGGACAAAGTTGAGCTGTTGGGGGGAAATGCGTGTTCTTGCGGGCGGGCTGCTGTGCTGTGGGCGGCGGTAGCTGCAGGGCTATTAAGCGGATGCGCGGAGCAGTGGTAGCGAAGTGGCAGCACAGTGGCAGCGCGGTGGGGGATGGGGCGATGGGGAGGGACAGAGGAAAAGGTGGGCAGGGATCCAACAGTACTGGGAACGGTGCAGTGCGGTGGCAGATGCTGAGGGGCTAGAGAGAGGACAGAAACCAGGCAGGAGAGGGTAGCATGCATGCATACATGCGTGCTCACATATTGTCATCATCCGCCCCAAATGTCCGGCAGGAGGCGGCAAGCTGAAGGGTGGCAGTGGCAGGTGGGGGGGGTATTGGAAGGACAAGTTGCCCATTGTTCTCCTCCGCCCCTCTACTCCCTTGCTGCCTGCTCCTCCTGTCCTGCACAGTGTCCCCCTTCCCCTCCCAATCCTATCGTCTCATGTGTCCGTTACCTCATTGCCTCTCCATCATCCTTCTCCGCCCCCACCCGCTGCGCCCACCCCCCTCGCCAGCACCATTGCCGCCACTGACACCGTTGCTCCACGCCCCTCTTGGCACCGTTGCTCCACGCCCCTCTTGGCACCGTTGCTCCACGCCCCTCTTGGCACCGTTGCTCCACGCCCCTCTTGGCACCGTTGCTCCACGCCCCTCTTGGCACCGTTGCTCCACGCCCCTCTTGGCACCGTTGCTCCACGCCCCTCTTGGCACCGTTGCTCCACGCCCCTCTTGGCACCGTTGCTCCATGGCACCGTTGCTCCACGCCCCTCTTGGCACCGTTGCTCCACGCCCCTCTTGGCATCGTTGCTCCACGCCCCTCTTTGCACCGTTATCCCTGCCGGCTCCATTCATCTCTTCTTAACGATCTGTCCTCTGCTCCATCCCTCATCACCCCGTCACCCCCAATTACCGCATCCCACCCACCCAGGCGGTGCACTCGTGGCATGAGCCGCCTCTGAGCGCGCTGCTGCTGCGACTGGCAGCGGAAGTGGGGCGAAGGGGTGAGGGAGAAGCGGAGGCAGGCAGGGGGCGGGGACGAGAGGGGGGAGGGCGGGGCAGGGGTGCAGGGGCACGAGTTGAAGGGGCAGCAGGGGAAGCGGAGGAAGGGGAGGAGGGGTGGAGCGATGTGGGGGGGGGTGCTGGTGCAGCAGCTACAGGCGCTGCAGTCACCAGATGACCTCTTCTCCCTCTTCGCCTCCTTACACTGTGAGTCCCAAGAAGGAGCCATGACTGTGCACTGTGAGTGGTGCACTGTAAGTGGGGCATTGTGAGTCGTGCACTGTGAGTGGGGCATTTTGAGTGGGGCATTTTGAGTGGCGCATTTTGAGTGGCGCATTTTGAGTGGCGCATTTTGAGTGGCACATTTTGAGTGGGGCACAGATCAGTGCACTTGAATGTTCACTTCACATTCATGGCCATGTGCATGCATGGAGCACACACAAACAGTGCTGCCAAGTCCCACGCCCTGCCCCATACCTGCCCTCCCATAATTGCCCTGTCCCCACGCCCTACCTCTCCCGCACCTCTCCCCCTCACGGCCTTGCTTGCAGCGTGTGTGGTGCGCAGCACGTCCCCTCCGCGCCACCGGGCAGCATTTTGAGGCGCCTTAAAGCCCATGCTTGCCCTGTCCCCCGCCCCACCTCTCCCCTCCTCTCCCCCTCACGGCCATGTTGCAGCGTGTGTGGCACGTAGCACCTCCCCTCCGCGCCACCGGGCGGCAGCAGCAGCGTCGCCCGCCTGCCAGCCTGTCACCCGCGGCAGTGCCCTCGGCCTCTTCCTTCGCTCGCTGTTGCTCTCCTTCCACCACCTGCCCTTCCAGGTGCTCCCATGCACACATGCGCACATGCACCCATGCACCCATGCATCCGTGCACTCATGCACATGTCCACGTGCATACATGCACTCGTGTGCTCGGCCTCTTTCTTCGCTCGCTGCTGCTCTCCTTCCACCACCTGCCCTTCCAGGTGCTCCCATGTGCACATGTGCACACATGCGCACATGCACCCATGCGCACATGCGCACCCATGAACACATGTGCACATGCATACATGCACTCATGCGCTTGGTCTCTTATTAACTGCGCTCGCTGTTGCTCTCCTTCCACCACCCGCCCTTCCAGGTGCACCCATGCACACATGGGCACACACGCACATGCGCACACACGCACATGCGCACACGCGCACATGCGCACAGGCGCACATGCGCACATACACACATGCACACATGCGCACATGCGCACATGCTCACAGGTAACTCGCACGAATCCACACTGCATTTCACAGATGCACATGAGCTAACCTTCTCTGGTCCCTTGCACATGGCATGCATGCCACATGGCGCATGGTGCATAGGCCTGATCATCCTGCCCCGGCGGGTCGGGTCAGGAGTTCTGAAGCGCTGACCCGGCCGGGTCGGGTCGGGTTTACCCGGCCGAGTCTGGTCGACCCGATACCCGAAACCGGGTCGGGTCGGGTCGGGTCGGGTTGGGTCGGGTCGGGTCAGGATTTGACCCGTTTTTGCACCCGACCCGGTTTCGGGTACCCCGCGCTAAGTTGGGTCGGTATCTGGCCCGACCCGGGGGTTTCCACTCGACAAAGTTCATCCAAATCGAAATCGCGAGGGCGGGTTAGTTTTCCCAGCGACTAGCGTTTCGATCTGGATTAAGTTAAGTTACCTAGCTAGTGACGCCTGCAGCCACCTTTGAGGCGCCTCAAAAGCAGCCACCAAGCAAGGTTGCCCTAATCATCTACCCCATAATGTTGATGATGTTATAAATAATACAACGCATGCTTTGAATGAATACTAAACTGCACAGTACTGAAAGAACCTACAACCCTGCCTCCGTGAAGTCGGGTTCCGGCCCGACCCGACCCGGACCCGACCCGGGGGCGGGTCAGACCTGACCCGATACCCTATACCCGGGTCGGATCGAAGATCCTGGATGGTCTGACCCGACCCGACCCGAAACCCGGCATATGGCATATGGTGCATGGCACACAACGCATGGTGCGTGGGATATGGTGCATGGTGCATGGCGCATGGTGCATTGCATAAGGCGCATGGCAGGCGGTGCATGATGTGGTACCTGTACCATGCGAGCTGCTGTGGCAGCACTGGCAGCACGGATAACCAGAGGCACATGATGTAACCAATACCTTTCCCTTGCACATGGCAAGCAGTGTGTGATGTGCTGGGCGACATTCACGAGTAACTGCACCATGCGGGCTGTATGGGCAGCACTGGTTGCACATGATCCAACCATTGCTCCTCCCTTGTACATGGCATGCATGGCGCATGGCAGGCGATGTGTGATGTGCTGGGCGACATTCACGAGTATCTCAACCACGCGGGCTGCACTGGCAGCACGGGGAGCATGGATGAGCGGGCGGCGGGGCACAGGGGAGGCATCTCATGGGGAGTGGGGGTCAGGGGAGGAGAGGAGTGATGGGGAGGAGGAGGGGGGTGATGGGGGGGAGGAAATGGACGTAGACGTGGGGGTGCGCATAGAGGTAGGGGAACCACTTGCCTTCGATACAGTCACGCACCGCAGAAGAACAACCCATGAGGGCACGCGTGAGAGCAGCAGGGAAGAAGCAGGGGGGACAGCGTGGGATGGTGGAGGGGGTGGGGGAGGAGCAAGGGCAGGGGCGGGGGCGAGGGCGGGGGAGGACAAGACAGCATGGGAGGAGGAGTTTGAGCGGGAGGTGCTGGGGCGAGGGGGGAGAGGGGGAGGGCAGGGGGATGATGCTCTGATGCCTTCTGGGAGGGATAATGGGGGCTTGTGGGGGGGAGGAGGTGGGAGAAGGAGCAGTGGAGGGATGATGGGGGAGGGGAGGAGGGGCGGGAGAGTGGACGGGAAAGAGGGGGGCGGAAGCAGAGGGGAGGCGGCGGCATGCAGAAGCAGTTTCTGCGGGAGGCAGGGCGGCTGGCGGAATACCTTGATGGGCGGATAGAAGAGGCTAGCAGGTGAGGGGAGAGGAGGCTAGCAGGTGAGGGGAGAGGAGGCTAGCAGGTGAGGGGAGAGGAGGCTAGCAGGTGAGGGGAGAGGAGGCTAGCAGGTGAGGGGAGAGGAGGCTAGCAGGTGAGGGGAGAGGAGGCTAGCAGGTGAGGGGAGAGGAGGCTAGCAGGTGAGGGGAGAGGAGGCTAGCAGGTGAGGGGAGAGGAGGCTAGCAGGTGAGGGGAGAGGAGGCTAGCAGGTGAGGGGAGAGGAGGCTAGCAGATGAGGGGAGAGGAGGCTAGCAGGTGAGGGGAGAGGAGGCTAGCAGGTGAGGGGAGAGGAGGCTAGCAGGTGAGGGAAGAGGAGGCTAGTAGGTGAGGGGAGAGGAGGCTAGCAGGTGGGGAGATTTTCGCCTCCCTAGATGCCGGAGCTTACTTCTTCTTCCGTCTCCCACTCACGTCTCTCCCCGCTGTTGCATCCCTCTTCCCACTTGCACCGATCCCTCTCTCCTCACTATGTTGTGCGCAACCGCAACAGGCGGGGGGCAGCAGCAGCAGGCCTGAGGACCGAGCAAGGTAGGGAAGGAGAGGAGAGTGGCAGTGCTGTGGATGGTGCTCATGCGGACGACCAGAGCGCCCTGGCTCATGCACATGACTTGCCGCCTAAGGTGCACGGTGGCAGCACGCATGGCAGGTTGAATGCACGTGACAGGTTGAATGCACGTGGCAGGATGAATGCACGTGACAGGCTGAATGCACGTGGCAGGCTGATTCGAATGCATGACTTGATGAATGTAGCAGCTGTGGATCGAAACTCTCTTATCCGCTGCCCACCTTGTGTTCAACTCCAATCTCGATCCCGCCCGTCCCCGAATGCACCACTTCCTGCATGCCAACACGTGACATCGCTTGGCATGGCATCGTGTGGCATGGCATGGCATTACATGGCATCGCATGGCATGGCATCACATGGCATCGCATGGCATGGCATCACATGGCATCCCACATGCTTCGTATTGCATCACATGGCATCACGGCATGGCATGTCTGCATAGCATCAGGTGCATCTATGGCAGCATCATGAGTCACTCTCCTCGCGCCATCTCTCCGACTCCCTCTCCTCAGTGCACCACTACTTTGACTACAGGTGCCCAGGGGGGCAGGAGGGAACTGTGATGCATGTGGTGCAGTGCAGGCAAATGGATGGATGGAATGCATGGGCTTAGGTGTATCATGTTGTGCACAGAATTGGACGGTTGAGTACGACCGAGGGAATGAGACACTAACAAGGGCCGAATTCGTGCCGGCCAGAAAAGATGCCATAAAGTCCGGGCCCGAGCAGGCTCGTCACGGGCCTCTGATGGTCTTTGATACGACAGGTCAGCTTTTGATGGTTCAGACCAATTTTGGCTGAGATGTGACCGGTTGATATGAGGTGACTTTTAAGTCGACTAAAAAGCCGCTGATGTGTGACACGTTCCCGTTGATATGATTCTCGCACTCCTGGGGCTGTGCAGATCCCTAAGAGCAGGTAGGGGCAGGGTTGTGTGAGGGAGTGCATACGGGGGCATGGTTGCAATGGGAACACTGTCAAGACGGGTAATCTTGATGTGCAGGCCCACTCCACCCCCTCTCCCCTGACTCCCTTCCTACCCCCTTCTCCATTCCCCCTACTTCTTTTACGGCCGTCCCTCCCCTTACCCCCTTCGCCTCTACCATTCAGTGCGGGCATGGCAGCGGTGGGCGGGCGGGCAGCGTCGGACTGGTGGGCGGGGCGGTTCCAGGCAGGGCTGCTGGTGGAGGGCGGCATGCATGCACGATACGGCCACGTGCAGCATGCCATGGGGGTACGTGTGGGTCTGTGGTGCATGCAGCATGCAGCATTCCATGGTATGTGAGGGTTATGGAGCATGCAATGGGGGTATGTGTGACACATGCGGCACGGAATGGGGGTATGCCTTGCCTCAGCTGGCTTCTTCCTGCTCCATTCTCTATCGTCACTCTTATCCTCGCCTGCTTCCACCTCGTACCCTAATCGTCGCCTTATTTCCTCTCCTGCACCCGTCCACATGGCCCCTGCACCCCACCATACCAGGCCCTGATTGAGACAGTGCACATGGCGCAGCAGGTGAGGCGCTAGCATGGCACAGGCTGGTGTGGAATGAACAAACATGGTGGCTTTTCTTCTTTCGTTAACTAGTGATTTTGCAATTTTCCTGGTCAGTGTCAGAACTGGTGCAGTACGGTGTAGAGTGGTATCACATGGCAGAATCCTGGCTCCTACATTGCAACAGAGAGCATTCTTATTGGATTGTATGACAGTGGATGGTACTGTGAGCTCAGTACTACTGCACCCCACCTTGTTTCCGTTGCAATCGCCAACTAAGCAATACGGTCCCGGGTGCTGTGTTAACCTTCGGGAAAATCTTCAACCGACTTATCGGTTTGGTAACCGTGCACGCATAAGTAACATGTGCAGGTTACGACACTTCCAAGCAGTTCAATTTCTCTCCACTTAAAATTCGCGAGAACTGCGACGATATTTGTGGCGCCTAAAAAATCGTGACAGTAGATTTGAGCAGAACCTGCTGTATTTGCGCAGACTTGAAGCATCATTTTATTCCCTGCCCGTCCCCACAGCAGAGTGATGACGTGTGCTTGGTGCACGCCCCCAGCCATCTGCCACCTCCAATCACAGACTGCCACGTCAGCTGCGCCCCGCCAGCTGGCAGTACTGGGAGCCCCCAACTCGCTGCAGCAGCCAACACTGCTGGAGGGGGGAGTGTGGCGCGGTGGGGGGAGGAGCGGAGGGAAGAAAGGGGGAGTTGGGGGCGAGGGGATTGTGGGGGGAGAAAAAGGGGCGCATGGGGGCGTGGGTGGGGAAGGGGGAGGAGGGGCGGCAGTGGCAGGCGGCGTGCAGCAGCAGGTGTGTGTGCTGCTGCAGCGCTGCCTGGTGCGTGCCGCCCAGCTGAGATTGCCGCGGCTCGTGTTTGCCATCCAGCTACTGCTCACTCGCTACACTGTTGAGGTAATTAGGGGGGCTGCTGGAGGGCTGCAGGAGGGCTCAGGGCTGAGGGGAGGGTTAAGGCTTGCCTTGCCAGCATCCGGAATCTAGTCTTGAATACACGTGATTGCCGCAGCACTGAAGCAGCAAGACTTCTGCGCCGTCTTTATGCTGATGCTGTAACCATTTTTCTCGAGTCGTGTAACACTTTCGTTGATGTAATTTCATCTCTTTGTTCGCATGCCCTTTCCCTACTCCTCCTACTCCCTCTGATTTCCTCCATTCCTTCCTCTCCACTCCGTCCCCTCGCCCATCCGCACCGCCTTCCACTCCTTCGAGCAGCACGCAACGGACGGGAGAGCACTCCACACCACCACGTCCCTCTCTCTTCCTCCCTCCGACGTCAACCCGTCCCCTCTCCTTGTCTGCCAAGTAAGCCACTCCCTCCTCTTCTCTCCTCGTCTGCCCTTGCTTCGCTCTGCTGCTCTTCTTGCAACTTTCCTGCGTGGTGCTGCCAATTGCCCCAGCCGTGCTACTGATACATGCTTGTCTTAGTGTCCTGCAACAATCTGTCCCTGCAATGGCAGCCAACGATGCACCTTAGCTGGAGCCATCAGGCTGTGGAGGTCAAGGCTATTGTGGTCTTTAGTGATGCACATGAGATGGCCTTTGGCAGTGCTCTTGCGCACATAAGGAATGGGGATGGAAGTGAATGGGGGGTATTTTCAGTGTGGTTGGTTGAAACCTCCGATTGGTGGGATGGCTTTTGAGTCGACTCAAAATGTGTCGTGTGCCATTGTAACGAGGTGACTTTTGAGTTGACTCAGAAGGGAATGAGGGGTAATCTCAGTGCGGTTGGTTGAAACCTCCGATTGGTGGGATGGGGGAGTCTTTGCGTGATCACTTTTGGTTGAGAGTTTCGCATCGAACTACCAACCCAGCAGACTAGTTTTACGCTAAGCTAGGATGTAAGTACAAGTGTCAATGTGGGATTGTAGTCCATCTCTCCAACAGCCACAAGACTAAGGGTTGCTCATGGGGATGCGTGAGAGTGTTAGTGAAGGATAATAGTTGTAGGTCAGTGATCCGATGTAATGTGATACGATGCGGTGTGGTATGGTGTGGTGTGGTTTGGTGTGATGTGATGTGATAATGCAGTGCAGCAAGCGATTCACCACCCAGTGCTGATCTTGAGTCCCTTGCATTGAGGCACCTTTGCGCTGCAACAGGGATGCAAGAACCACTCTCTCACTCACATCCGCTTTTCCCCGCTTCCCATTACTCCCAGCCAATCCCGATTCTCATTTCTCTCCCACTGGCTAACCTCCCACTGCTGCTTCCCCTCTCCCTCCCCTTCCCCCCTCACTCAAGCTCCCCCCTCACCGTCCTTGGCATCAGACATAAGAAACAGTTGCAGGTCGTCAAGCTAGGTGGCGAACTCTATCGGGCGGCCGTCAGGATCGAATGCGAGGACATTTAGAGTCGCCATGATTGTAGCGCATGCAAGAGTAGCAAGCAGGCAGCAAAGCATAGTGCAGGGCGGCGCACGAGCTGCAGTGGCGGCGCACGGGCTCCAAAGGCGGCGCGCGGGGCAGCAGCGGGCCGCGCGCGGGCTCCTAAGGCGGCGCGCGGTGCAGCTGTGGGCTGCGCGACCGGCGAAGGCGACGCGCGGGGCAGTAGCGGGCTGCGCGACCGGCGAAGGCGACGCGCGGGGCAGCAGCGGGCTGCGCGAACGGCGGAGGCGACGCGCGGGGCAGCAGTAGGCTGCGCGGGCGGCACACGCGGCGCGGGGGCAGCAGCGAGTTTTGCGGGCTGCTAGAGTGGCGCGCGCGGGAAAAAAAAAACAGCGCGCGCGGGCAGCGCAGCGTAGGCAAGGCAGGTGGGGCAGCGTGGTAACCGCAACGGTAGGTGGGCCCGAAGTAAGACGGCCCCACGGACCTACTGCTCTGAAACCATGTCTGAAATGCTAGGCAGGAATGAAATGAACTAGGAAAGTGATGGGTACAAATATGGAACCCTAAAAGGGGCTGTACCCCATATTGGCTACCCCACTACAGCCTAAACATATGTCAGAACGTTATATAGCTTATACATTTGTGTAGGCTATAGTGGGGTATCCCATAGGGGGTACAACCCAATTAGGGTTAGTACTTGTACTCACTCATTTCATAGTTCATTCATTCTCGTTCTCATTCTCACATGGTATCAGAGCAGGTTCCCTCGTAGGGACTGTTCCTAGGGCCCACCGAACGTTTTTCTGCCCGGGGCGCGTCCTGCCCCTTCCCGAAGCGCGCCTAGAGTCGCCGCCCCACCTATGGCCCGTCGCCGCCCTACCTACGGCCCGTCGCCGCCCTACCTACGGCCCATCGCCGCCCTACCCACGGCCGACCCGCCGCCCTACTAGCGGCCGACCCGCCGCCCTACCTGCGGCCGACCCGCCGACCTACCTGCGGCTGACCCGCCGCCCTGCCTGCGGCCGACCCGCCGCCCTACCTACGGCCGAACCGCCGCCCTACCTGCGGCTGACCCGCCGCCCTACCTGCAGCCGACCCGCCGCCCTACCTGCGGCCGACCCGCTGCCCTACCTGCGGCCCTACCCGCCGCCCTACCTGCGGCCACCCGCCGTCCTACCTGCGGCCCACCCGCCGCCCTACCAGCGGCCCACCCGCCGCCCTACCTACGGCCGCCGCGGCGCCCTGCACCAGCGCCTCCGAGCCGCCCAGCGGCAGAACCACCGAGCCGCCCGGCCGCCGAGTCGCCCAGCAGCAGAACAGCCGAGCCGCTCAGCAGCAGCGCCGCCGAGCAGCCCTGCAGCCGAGCCGCCCAGCAGCCGAGCCGCCCAACAGCCGAGCCGCCCTGCAGCCGAGCCGCCCAGCAGCCGAGCCGCCCTGCAGCCGAGCCGCCCACCAGCCGAGCCGCCGAGCCGCTGAGCTGCCCTACTTCCAGACCGAGCTGCCCCGTCTGGTGAGCACTGCGCCTCTTTCACTGCACTGCCCTCACCCTACTGTTTACACTACTTAGCGTCTGTGGTCATGGCTACCCCTAGTGTCCTCACTTTTGACGCTGAGGGTCGGGCCATTGACTTTGAGGTCTGGGTAGACGACCTGCAGCTGTTCTTACAGTGCGATAGGGCAGACGGCCTCTCTCTCTTTGACCTTACCTCTGGCGCTTCCCCTGCCCCTGATGCTGATGCTGACGCCAATGTTCGCTCCCAGTGGGCCACGCGCGACGCTGCTGCACGTCTTGCTGTGCGTCGCCACCTCCCTACCTCCGAGCGTGCGCACTTTAGTCAGTACAAGAGTGCTCAGACCTTGTACGACGCTGTAGTCGCGCGCTACTCCTCCCCTGCCACTGCTGCACTGAGCCGTCTCATGCTACCGTACCTCTTCCCTGACCTTGCTGCCTTTCCCACCGTAGCTGACCTCATTACGCACCTCCGCACTAGTGACACTCGCTACCGCGCTTCACTTCCTGCTGACTTCTGCGCCGCGAACCCCCCGCCCCCATGTACATCACTCTGTACTTTCTAGTCACTCGCCTCCCTGACTCCCTTCGAGTAGTCAGGGACCACTTTCTCTCAGTCTGTCCCACCACACTCACTGTAGACCTCCTCAAGAAGGCCCTCCTCGCGATAGAGAAGAGCATAGTTGCTGTAGGAGCCTCTCGAGGTGACCCGCGCACCCCCATCTTTGAGGGGTGTTCCCCCTCCCCCCTGCTGCCCTCTGTTGCCTCTGCTGCTACGGCCGACCTCCTTGGTCTTGAGCTGGTCGGTGCGGCGTCTGTCCCTAGCGGGAGACGCCGCCCTGGCAAGGGCAAGGGGGGCAAGGGAGCTGGAGGAGCGGGCGGTGGAGGTGGAGGTGGAGGCGGTGGGGGGAGTGGGGGTGGCGGTGGGAGTGGAGGTGGGGGTGGGGGGGTCGGTGGCAGCAGTGGAGGCGGAGGCGGCGGCGGCGGTGGCGGTGGGAGCGGAGGTGGCGGAGGAGGCGGCGGTGGAGGCGGCGGCGGAGGCGGCGGCAGTAGTGGAGGCAGCGGAGGCGGTGGAGGCGGTGGGGGTGGCGGTGGAGCTGGTCGCGGGTCTTCGCAGATGAGTGGCTCCGGTGGTGGCTCGCGCCAGCAGCAGCAGTGCGGTCATGAGACACTGTCCCCTCAGCAGCTCCGTGAGTGGTACATTGCACGCCAGCAGGGTGGGGGTTTTGGTCCGTGCACCTACTTTCTGCGCACCGGCGACCGTGCGGGTGAGCAGTGTGGGGGTGCGCACCCCACCCAGCGCTGCTTTGGCCGCCTGACGGACGCGTGGCCTCACCAGTTCCCGGAGGCCTCAGAGATCCCTCGTTGGGGCGAGCTGTCTAGGGCGGGTGTTGCCATCTTTGATCTTGACTTTGATGCTATTCTCTCTGCCATGTATGCTGTGTCTATTAGTGATGAGGGTGACTGTTACCGGTGTTTCCCTCCCGATCCGGGCATTGATTGTGCTGCTCTAGGTACTGGTGCGGCTGCTGCCTTAGGTGCTTGCGACGCTGCTACTCTAGGTGCTCGTGTGTCTGCGTCCTCAGGTACTGGTGAGTCTGCGCTCTCAGGTACTACGTCGGCTTCGGCCTCCCTCACCTTCACCCTTGACTCTGGGGCGTCTCGCTCCTTCTTTCGGGACCGCACCACACTCACGCCGCTTAGTCGGCCGGTTGCGGTGTCTCTGGCCGACCCCTCCGGGGGTCTTGTACTGTCTCGCTTCTCCACAGTCCTCCTGTGTCCGGTGGCTCCCTCTGGCACCCTGTCTGATCTCTACCTCCCCTCGTTCTCGACAAAGCTGGTGAGTGGTGCTGACCTACAGGATGCGGGTGTCCACCAGTTCACTCCTGCGCGTCAGCGAGTGACACACTGCACAGAGGCTAGCACAGGCCGACACCTGGCTACGTTCACCCGTCAGCCGGGGTCGAGCCTGTACACTCTGACCACTGCGTCTCCTCCAGTTGCTGAGTCTGGTAGGGTAGCTGCGTCGGGTCAGGTGTTTGCTGCGGCATCCAGGTCTGGTCCTGAGTCTGCCCCCTGTTCGTGTCGTCTCCTGTCTCACGAGACTCTCCTCTGGCACCACCGCCTTGGCCACCCCTCTCTGCTTCGGCTCACAGGCATGGCCTCCCGTCTTCTTGTGTCTGGTCTCCCCCGGTCCCTCCCTCCCCTTCCTCAGGGCCCTGGCCCTGCCTGTGTCCCCTGTGTCGAGGGGCGCCAGCGTGCTGCCCCTCACTCCTCCCAGTTTCCTCCGACAGAGGCCCCGTTGCAGACACTTCACATGGACGCGTGGGGCCCAGCCCGCGTCCGTGGACAGGGTCACGAGCGCTACTTCCTGCTCGTTGTTGACGACTACTCGCATTACACCGCAGTCTTCCCCTTGTGCTGCAAGGGTGATGTCACTGCGGTGCTGATTGACTGGATCCGCGCAGCTCGTCTCCAGCTGAGGCAGAGCTTTGGCTCGGACTTTCCTGTTCTCCGTCTGCACTCGGACAGAGGCGGAGAGTTTTCCTCTGACCTTCTGAGAGCCTACTGTCGC